CTTAAAAGGGTAGAAAAGAAATTATCAGCTGGGAACGAGGATAAGAATCTGCAGTGTCACAAATGGTGCAATGCATATACATAGCAAAAAATTAACTGTTTCTTACAATAGAAACTAGGAAGTGCCAGAAGAAATAACTGGGCAGCTGGTCTAAACCCAACAGAATAAATTACTTTTCACATTGCGCATAATTACATAGCAGAACTCTTGACTTCACAATACCCTGTGATAATCAAAAGTATAAATGTCTCTTCTTGGGCAGCACTGGATTCCCAAAAACTAATTATGCAGCAGATGGTAAAAAAGCCACCATCACCAAATGAACAAAAAAAGAGGATCGGGAATTATTAATGATTAGCAGAGGGGCTTTCCACGTTTCATAAAGTTCATAAAGTCTCAAAGGGTTGGTATCCACAACCTGGTGATGGATCTGAGCCCATTCCTTGGCTGAAGACAATGGGGGAAATTCCTGTAGCAGCTTTATAGAAAATATATGTGATTTGTTGTACCTTTGCCCTCCATTATTATTATCACAAGGGATCAATGAGTTAATTCCACCTCCATGGAAGGGAAATAAGATACAGCAGCCGGCACATGGACATGGCTGAATTGATGTGAATGAACACTTACAACATACCTTGGACATTACCTTCCAGAGAACAAGAGGCAAGACAACAGCCAATACAGAACAGCAGCTGCAGCAACTGTGGTGAGAGCACATGGTAGGCAGTTGTGGGACCAGTCAGGAGATGGGGTCTGGGGTGCAGGGGCAGATCTGGCATTTGCACCCTCCCCAGCCCTCCTCTAGGCCAGCCTGCAGCTAGTTGAAGGACAATGCTCACCTGGAAAAGTCCACCCCAAGTCACAGAAGAGCTGCTGGCTGTTTCCATAGGCACAATCAGGTCACAGCTGGCCATGGGAGGCTCTGCAGCAGGGAGCTGGAGCAGCCAGGATTTCAACCTGGGCAGCAACATTCTGCCACTCTCTGGAGGCAGGCACAGGCAGAACAGCACCCACACAGACTTGCTATGTCAGAGAGAGAATGGAGGACATGGAGAATTGCACAGACATTCATGAATGTAGTGTTTCTTCGAGAAATAATTGCACGACCGTGGTGTCCCAGGAAGGGAATAGTCACAGAAGTCCAGGACCCCCAGGTCAGGACCCAGCTATTGCAGGTTATGTCATGCTAATTCCTTTCATAAATCTGTGAATGCCTACCTCACGCTAGTTAAAAGCTGACTAAGGCTTAGATGAGGGACACAAAATCCATGCATCCATTGTGGGTTTCATTTAATCAATAACATTTACATGCTACAAAATATGGGCAGTTTCTGCACAGGCATATCATAAATCTAAAACTTTCCCGGATCCCAAGGGCCACAGACATAGACACAGAGGTAAATTCCTGATGCACTGGGAACCCTTGCTGATGTATTCAGTATTGAGCAGAGAAAGACAACAGCAGGATGATGTGATGCAGGTACAGGAGGCTCCTGCACCATGGTCAGGGCATTGCCTTGCTGCCAGCACCTCTCCCAGAGCTTCACATTTGCCTCAGTGACCGCCAAAACTAAAGACTGATAATGAGTGTATTTAAAGGTATCCAGAGCTAGGGAGTCTCTGTGAAATTCTCTCTTCGCTGAAGGAGCCTCCTACAGCCTGTGTGCATGTGTGCGCAAGGCAGGGTGCATGGGACACAGGAAGGAGCCAGCACAGAGGCAGTGGACTGGTCTGCACCACTGCACCAAGCAGCAGTCACACAGCCACCACCACACGTTGCAGTCAAGCAGCCGATGTGGCCCATGTGCTCCTTGCCCGCGTGCAGCCTTTGCTCATGGGCCAGCTTGCACTAGCGAACAAGGGGTGCAGCACAAAAATGCATGCCAAATGCAGACAGATGGGAGGGATGGATGTGGGGAGCGCACCCTGGGGGGATGGCCAGGAGTGAGTCAGCTGGCCCAGTGGCACTTAAAATGCCTCCTCTGGCATGAAGAGAGAGAAACTGAAGGGAACAGAGGCAAGCTGGGGCTGTGGGGCCTGCAGCCCAGGTTGCAGAGGTAAGGAAGGGATCTCAAGCCTGCTGCTGGATTTCCCCACTGAATTCCAGCTACAAGGCACTGCAAGACATATAGTACAATTTAGATGTATCAGTTCCGGATTTGTGATTGCAAATTGAATTTTGCCTGGCCAAAACCCCAAGCACTCAAATGATAATAAAATAAGTGTGGAGAATTTGCACTCTCAGTATTTATTTTTTATAGACTAAACCCACAGATACAAATGCTCTCTGCTCCCAGAGCACACCGTGCTTCTCCTCATGCACAGTCACAGGGCTCTTCCCCAATGCAGCACACAATGCAGCAAGGACTGGCATAGTGGAGCATGGCATGGCATGACAGGGCACAGCACAGTATGGGAGGCTGCCAGAGCTGCTTAGCAGAAGGCAAAAGCAAGACATAGGTAGGGGCTGCTGGAAGACTGGAGAGAAGCCTGGAGCTGGTGAAGTTGCAGGGCCTTCAGTGCCCCAGTGGCTCTGCATACCTGTCTGCTTCTCCAGTTTGCCCCCAGCGGCAGAGGGCTAAAGGGCAGGAACTGGAGAAGCAGACAGGTATGCAGAGCCACTGGGGCACTGAAGGCCCTGCAACTTCACCAGCTCCAGGCTTCTCTCCAGTCTTCCAGCAGCCCCTACCTATGTCTTGCTTTTGCCTTCTGCTAAGCAGCTCTGGCAGCCTCCCATACTGTGCTGTGCCCTGTCATGCCATGCCATGCTCCACTATGCCAGTCCTTGCTG